CGCTGCTTTGACCCGGCATGCCTGGGGCCCGGTATGGGCACCTCGGGTTTGGAGCTTCCGTCAAACTCTGAGACTCTGAGGCCCGAACGAAGCTACCATGGGAGGGATCAATGAATTTGTGCGATCAACCCTACCGGTTGCTTGCCGAACCAAGCCCAGCTGCCCAGCTGAGCCGGAAGAGCTCGTGGCTGTCGTCTGCGTGCTGAAGGAGTGAGGCCTGATTTTGCGCTAGGGTTTAGGTTTTCGGGCTTAAGGCTTGTGTGTTTAGGGCTGTGCACCAAGTAGGCCTGCAGGCGGCTTTGGGAGGGCTTAGATTCTTTAGGCCTGCTTCACACCGAAGTCCTGCGGAGAGTTGGTTAAGGACGCTCGCAAACCCTAAACCTCAAACAGCCCAACCCTGCTCTCCCCCCCCCGAGAACCTGAAGCCCCCTGACTGCCCCCCCTTGCGAGGCCCCTGCGTGTTGAAATCAATGGGGCTGTCTTCTTGGTCGCACCCACCTGAAATTGGGGTGGGGCCGGATGGCTTCGGCTCCTAGGAGCCAAGGGTTCTGCTGCCTACCAATGCCTCGCGATTTCGCCATGTCAGAAGAATGGCGTTGACGGCTTGGGTCTCTGATCTCCCACCAAAAACTCACTAAAATACCATATACCCCAAGTTTGGTACCAGAGCCTTGTGCACGGACAAGGCGGACCGCGGAGGCTGTCGAAGGCAGGAACCCAGCACAACAAGAACCCTACCCGTGTCAAACCTGCATCTGATACCCCGAGCACGGAGGCGCCAACCCCTAGAACCCAGAATCCAAACCCTGAAACAGAGGAGTCTCCGGCTCTAGACCCGGAACCCCCAAACCCTCAAAGTCTCAAAGTGTCCTCCAGGTCCCGCAACAAAGCCCCTCTGTGGCAGCGCTTTCTGCAGAGCAAGTCGCTGCAGTGGCTCCGTCGGCTTCCAGTCGGAGGCCTTCTGTGGAAAGAGCCCAAGATTGGCGGTTTCCGGGTTTTGAGTTCTTGGCTTGGCTTCGAAAAGGGAAGGAACTCTTGCTGGCTACTCTTCGGCTTGGCACCTTTCGCGAGGCGGCCGGCTGCAGCTTCTGCAGAGTCGAGGAGCCGGGATCCTCGATTTGGAACCTCAAAGAAGCCAGGGCTGCGGCTGAAGATTCGAGTCGCCCCGCTGGCCCTTTCCTGGCTCCCAAAGCGCTCAAGAGGCTCAAGAGGACAGCTCGAGGGTGTAGCACCTATGATAGGCTTTGAGGGTTGGTGGGCTCGCAAGGAGCCCAAAATTCTGCCAAAAAAAGGGATTGGGAGGGTGCGAAGGATGCTGCAGGGCTTTTAATCGTCGACGCTCGTAGGATCAAAGGCTTCCAGGAAAGCCGGGCTCCTCGACGGCCGCGCCGCGTCCCTGAGGCCACAACCTCCCAGGGCAGGGTTGTAGCATAGGCGGCAGTGGATTTAGTGGGCTGAAGTAGGGAATGAAGTGCAGAAGAGTGGCAGAACTTGTAGTAATCAGAGTAAACGAGGAGCAGCAGTAGCCGCAGGAGTAGTAGTCGTCGCCGTAGTAGTAGTAGTAGTAGTAGTAGTAGTAGTAGTAGTAGTAGTAGTAGTAGTAGTAGTAGTAGTAGTAGTAGTAGTAGTAGTAGTAGTAGTAGTAGTAGTAGTAGTTAGTAGTTAGTAGTTAGTAGTTAGTAGTTAGTAGTTAGTAGTTAGTAGTTAGTAGTTAGTAGTTAGTAGTTAGTAGTTAGTAGTTAGTAGTTAGTAGTTAGTAGTTAGTAGTTAGTAGTTAGTAGTTAGTAGTTAGTAGTGAGTAGTTAGTAGTTAGTAGTTAGTAGTTAGTAGTTAGTAGTTAGTAGTTAGTAGTTAGTAGTTAGTAGTTAGTAGTTAGTAGTTAGTAGTTAGTAGTTAGTGGTTAGTGGTTAGTGGTTAGTGGTTAGTGGTTAGTGGTTAGTGGTTAGTGGTTAGTGGTTAGTGGTTAGTGGTTAGTGGTTAGTGGTTAGTGGTTAGTGGTTAGTAGTTAGTAGTTAGTAGTTAGTAGTTAGTAGTTAGTAGTTAGTAGTTAGTAGTTAGTAGTTAGTAGTTAGTAGTTAGTAGTTAGTAGTTAGTAGTTAGTAGTTAGTAGTTAGTAGTAGTAGTAGTAGTAGTAGTAGTAGTAGTAGTAGTAGTAATAGTAGTAGTAGTAGTAGTAGTAGTAGTAGTAGTAGTAGTAGTAGTAGTAGTTAGTAGTTAGTAGTTAGTAGTTAGTAGTTAGTAGTTAGTAGTTAGTAGTTAGTAGTTAGTAGTTAGTAGTTAGTAGTTAGTAGTTAGTAGTTAGTAGTTAGTAGTTAGTAGTTAGTAGTTAGTAGTTAGTAGTTAGTAGTTAGTAGTTAGTAGATAGTAGATAGTAGTTAGTAGTTAGTAGTTAGTAGTTAGTAGTTAGTAGTTAGTAGTTAGTAGTTAGTAGTTAGTAGTTAGTAGTTAGTAGTTAGTAGTTAGGAGTTAGTAGTTAGTAGTTAGTAGTTAGTAGTTAGTAGTTAGTAGTTAGTAGTTAGTAGTTAGTAGTTAGTAGTTAGTAGTTAGTAGTTAGTAGTTAGTAGTTAGTAGTAGTAGTAGTAGTAGTAGTAGTAGTAGTAGTAGTAGTAGGAGTAGTAGTAGTAGTAGTAGTAGTAGTAAGTAGTAGTAGGTAGTAGTAGTAGTAGTAGTAGTAGTAGTAGTAGTAGTAGTAGTAGTAGTAGTAGTAGTAGTAGTAGTAGTAGTAGTAGTAGTAGTAGTAGTAGTAGTAGTGTAGTAGTAGTAGCAGCAGCAGTAGCAGCAGTAGTAGTAGTAGTAGTAGTAGTAGTAGTAGTAGTAGTAGTAGTAGTAGTAGTAGTAGTAGTAGTAGTAGTAGTAGTAGTAGTAGTAGTAGTAGTAGTAGTAGTAGTAGTAGTAGTAGTAGTAGTAGTAGTAGTTAGTAGTAGTAGTAGTAGTAGTAGTAGTAGTAGTAGTAGTAGTAGTAGTAGTAGTAGTAGTAGTAGTAGTAGTAGTAGTAGTAGTAGTAGTAGTAGTAGTAGTAGTAGTAGTAGTAGTAGTAGTAGTAGTAGTAGTAGTAGTAGTAGTAGTAGTAGTAGTAGTAGTAGTAGTAGTAGTAGTAACGCAAATATACTACTGTAATAATTATTACAAAAACACAGATAATAGAAATGTGTTAGAAATAATAGTAGAAAGTACAGCAATTGCCCAGGCGCGTGAATTGTAGTGTGTCAGGGCTAGGGCTGAGGGCTCGAGAGCCCCAAAGCTTCTTGCATGAGGAGCTCTTGTGTTCAGGGTTCCGGGGCCTGCTTGTCCTGCAGAAAGCAAAACCTCATACGTATCCAAAACAGCTCGCCGAGACCGAGGCCTGAAGACTTGAAACCCTTAAACTCAAAAGAGCCCCATCAGCAGAGCAAAGAAAGCGTCCCTCAACACCCAAACAACTGCCTCATGGGGCTTGGCAGCCACTCCGAAGTTATTCTTTGGAGGTCTTTAAGCTTAAAGAACTGGAGGGGGTTCTTGCCTTGGGCCTGGGCTGCTTCCACAAAGGCGACGCGCCTCGCAGCCACTCGTCTCGAGACTTGGGGGTGCCCTCATGCCGTATCAAACAAGAAGCCTCTGGTGTGCCGTGCAGACAAGCGGGTCTAGAGACTGGAAAATTTGAGAAATCTAGGATGTAGGGCCTCCACGTCACTCAGGCGCCTTCATCACATCTGTGCGAGAACTCGACCGCACATCCAGAAAAATCCCGAGGCACCAACAGCTTCAACCGTGCCAGGAAACTTGAGCCCACAAGACCCTCCCAGGAAAAATGCCTGACGGCTCTGGCCATGCAACCTCAGCATCTGTGCTGAATCAGGAACCCAGCTGGCTCACAACTTTTGGTGGGCTCACATGTTAGAGACTTTAAGGTTGAATTCACAAAGGGGTTTTGCAGCTCTTCGGCGTAGCAAGTGGACAGAAACGTACTGACACAGGAACTGCAGATGAGGCTGTGGCAAGTCCCACCGGCATTGCAACGGGCATGGGCATAGGCACGGGCACGATCTGCGGCAGGGATAGGGCTGAGGGGTTTGCGTCTTGAGGCCCTCAAGGGCGCTCCATTTGGGTGTGCGAGCAAGAACTGAGAAGCCTCAAGCTCATTGAAAACACGTGTTCCAAACGAAAGGCAACCCTCACTAAGCCCTGAACCATCAACGCATATCAACTCGAAACCCTGACCCACAACCTGGCCTGGCCAACTGGGTGGAGGCCGCTCGCATCCTGTGAGAATCTGGTTTGGGGATTTGTGGGGCTGAAGGGCTTAGAGTTTCCAGGGCTTACTTCGGGTCATGCCGCCCCTGAACTCTGAATTCTGAACGCTGAACTCCAAGTCGGCACTCGGGGTGTGGATAAACCCCGAAACCTTGCTGGACGCTGCTTTCGGGGGGAGGTGGAGAAGGGAGGGGGAAAGTGAATCCAATGAACTCCTTGCCAAGGGCCCCGGCGGTTTGCAGCATGGGGATCCCAAACCCGTCCTCAGCACTGGGGCCCTACAAGTGGCATTGAACACCCAAGCACGCCTGGCAGCCACTGGCACCCCGAACCCTGGGCCATGCGCCTTGAAGGGGCGCTTTACATGTTTTACTGTTGCTGTGCGGGGGGTCCGGACTTCACTGCAGTTGTACCAGGAATCTAAGTGGGCTACCGGCAAGTGCTTTCGACTCCCAGAGTGAAACGCGCACTGGAGGAGAAAGGTCGGTACTTTCCATCAGTACTCGATCAGCCCCTCGCGACTTGGCCGGTTGCCTTTTCTCTGGTCCTCGTGCCGGCTCCAAGCATCCGCAGTCGACTTGTACTTGAAGACTTGAACGTGCAGCCGAAGATCAGACACCGCCAGAGCCATCAGCTTGGCACACCTTCGTCTCCAGCGACCCGCCTTGACAGCCGAAGGTTCAAGCACGGGTGCCCAGCAAAGCCCTTGCACTGCGGCCGATGCAGATGGGGCGGTCATGGCTTTCTGTGGACACGGCATTCACCTGCAATTACTCCATGAAAAAGTGCCGGTTGCTCATGTTCAGAAGGTACTGTTGTAGCTGCTCGTCATAGGCGTGCCTCGGAAGGATCCTGCTGCCCAGGAGCCTGTGTTTGCCCAAATCCTGAAAGCGGCGGTGGATAGCAGTCATCATGTCGGGCGTCAGATAGTGAAAAGTGATAGGCAAGGGGTTGCGGGACCTGATAGCTCTCTCATAGCCACTATTCAGCGGCCTCCCTCTCCCCTCAATTCGCCAACCATGAAGACCCTTGATTTGTAGGAGCTTGATGTTGTGCCGCTTCAGGGAGCAGGAGATGCTGATGTCGTCCCAAGCCTGCCCGGACTTCTCCACCGCCAGCTTCTTCATTAAATCTTTGTGAAAATCCTCAGGGGACGGGACCATGAGTCTTCTCAGGCTGGCCCGGGACACCGCGTAACCACCCCCGCCGCAGAACCCGCCCTTCTTGTCCGCGCAGAAGCCGGGGCCACAGCCCGGGATGCCCAGGGCAATGAGCTTGGACGGGTCGTACCCCGACAGCACCTTCCGGGAATTCTCGAGGTTCACATACATGTCATCGTCCACCACGAAGAACCAGGAAAACTCATCCAAGTGCTGCGCAGCCATCATCAGGGCGTAGCCCGTCTTGCAGCAGAGCTGCTTGCTGTGGTCGTTTCCACAGATCTCCGCACGAATGATGGGCGGGCGGTGCCCTGGCCAGCTCTGGTCTCCTATGATGATGAGACCATCCAGTGTGGAATTCACCTCTTTGCCCCAGGTTTCCATCACGGCGGGGATCCGGGTCTTGTAGTTTTGGTGTCCCGAACGCATAACGTAGAGGATGCCTGAGGTCAGCCGGGAAGTGGTGCTGGTGGTGGTGGTGGGTGGCGCGATCGACACCATCGCCGGTGGACCCGCCACTGCCGCCACTGTGGGGTTCGTGGGGTTCGTCGGACTCGCTGGCATCGTCCCTTCCGGGCCTTGCGCCCTGGCTTCAAACCTCACCGTGCCTACCCGAGTGTGGCCGCTGCTCGAGGTCAGAGTGAAAGCGTAGAGAACCAGGCAGGTAAAGACCAGGGTGCTTGTCAGTGCTCCTAGACGCAATAGCCGGCCTTAAGAAGCAGTTGCCAGGACGCACACCGGACCACGATGTCACAGAATCTAGACTGGTGGCGCACACATATGCGCAGCCAGAAAGCATGAAGGCAACAGCAGCTTCTCGAAACCGACATTCAGTTCAGGAAAGCCGTAAAGCCCCCAACTGACAGAAATGACAGTGCGGGCTCGCTGGCTCCCCAAACCCCAAAAGCAAAACCCGAAACCCAAAGGACTCATAGGCACCTTTTCGGAGCCAAGGGGCGCGCGCACGCGTGGCGCGAGGTGTCCGTCCCCTCCGTGGCCTCCTTGGGCCGTGGTGATGTCTCAACCCTTCTCGACCCCTCTAGGTTCTTATGAACTTCTTATATGAACGCAGCCAGATTGTGGGGGAGGGGTCTTGACGGGCATTGATGGGTTCTGGTGTTGAGGGCCTTGGTGCTCTGATGAGTCTCTGCAGGATCCATGCCTTGCGCTGGCCGCCCCCAGCTTCATCGGTCGCTCATGGCGCGAGGGGCGCGTGCCGGCTTCAGGGATCCGGGTTTGCTTAAGGCGAAGGGTCGGGTTTGAAAGCCAGCGCCGGGTTTCGAAAGCTCGCAACTTGGGCCGTCTTGGGCCTGAAGGCCTCGGCCCCTCCGACTTGGCAACCTGGCTTTGTCAAGGGGTTGGTCCCACCTGGAAGCCTAGACCCCAAATTTGACAAGACCAAGCATAGCCAGTAGGCACCAAACCCGGAGGTTGTCAACTCGAAAACCTTTCAGCCCTCAAACCCTGAAGCCCTAAACCCAGCATGGAGGCCAATCTAGGCGGTACGAGGGCTTGGGATGGGCACTTCGGATATGGGAATAAAGGCTTAGGCAACAATGGTTCATAGGGTTCAGGAGGGTTTCGAGATGCAGCGAAGCTCAGCAGATAGCACACAGGACACTTCAGAAAGCATGCGACCCAACAGCACTGGGACCCCCAACTTTCGACTGCCCCATATCTAAGTCCATGTTGCGTGTGCTTTTGGGGCTTCGGGCTAAGGGCTCATACTCATGATTTCGGAGTCTCACGGAAAGAGCCTGCAGGACTTACCCGTGACAGCCAAAGCAGTTACATGTCTCATAGAACCACACTGAGCTAAGGTCTGCGAGAAGGAGGAGGTTCACGCACCCGCCGCCCCCCCCCCCACAACCCAGCAGCTCCCGCTGAAGAGGCTTGGGAGGGCAACACGGAGCTCCAGTACAAAAACTCATCTGCTCGTCGACGCAAGTGCAAGTTTTGTGAACCCATTTGCGCAGCTGTCGGAGCAACCAGTGTATGCTCAGCGTCAACCAGGCCACCATGCGACGAGCCCATCGCAGGAGTCGCAGGAAGAAGCTGCCAGGGAGAAAGGATGCCGAGATGACTCTTTGCGCAAGTCTCCAGAGGCTTCAGAACTAGGCCCTAGGGGTGGGGCATAAGGGATTGAGGGTCCGGCAGGCTACATCAGGCTACAAAGTTGCTGCTCAAGGCTGTAGATCTCCCGCATGGACGTGCTTGATATACCGTCGTGGATGGGCGCACGGCTGCCAAAAAAAGAGGCAAACATGAGCTGGACATGTACTTGCTTGGCTACCAACTGCTACCAACTGTCTCCAAGCGCATCTCGCAAAGCCTTTGAACCAAAGGACTGCTAGAGCTTGGGCCCGCACCACGGACGCCATGGGCAATGTGGTCGGCAACATCTGCGCCCTCACCGCGCACTTCCATTTCCCATATGAACACCGACATACCAAACAGATCCGGATTTTCGGGGTTGAACGGTTACGAGAAACCCGTGGTCTAAAAGGTTGCCGTGTTGAGACCACTGCAAGAAGTGTCAGAGTGCATCCCTCAGACGTGGGTTTTGGGAGGCTCTACTATGTTTTGGGCCGTCGGACCTCGCAGAATTCAGGAGCTTCCCAACCTCCTCAAACGTGGGGAGGGCACCTAGCGGCCGGAGCTCGCTGTGGTGGGGCCCGCTGGACAGGCGGCTGCGCCGGCTTCCTGGAGAGGCGTTTGGGGGGGGGGGGGGGGGCTAGCGGTTGTAGGGCTACGGGGGTTCAGAGCGCTTGGGGTTTAGGGTTGAGGGCTTGGGGATGAAGGGTTTAGAGTCTAGAGGGCAAGCTGCGAACGAGAACCTGTAGGGGTCAGCTGTGTAAGACCCGAATTGTCTTCAACTCGCACTTTCTCTAAGACCGGCTAAGTGGGCCTCGGTGGCTTTGGCTTTGCAAGGACGGCGGCGGCCCGTAACTCCTCCTTGTTGTGAGCATACCTGCGCATGGCTAGGGGCTTAGGGTTTAGTCTGTTTTTTGTTCGGTCGGCCACTTCCTTTCGCAGCTTAGCTTGGAAGGTTGCTTTCGCTGCTCATCCCCGGGCTTCCGCTCGGGAATGGCTGACAAAATGGGCAAGAGTGATCCTGCTCAGTGCCTTCACTGCCCGAGCCCAAACTCTTCCAAACCCGACAAAACTTGCGAGGCATGTCCGAAAGGCGCCTGCATTCCGGATCATTGCAGCTGCCTCTGCGGCAGAAGAGGCTGACTGCTTTTCAAGTGTGGGGGCTTACATGGCTCCAGGGGTTTAGAGTTAGGCTTTGAGCCAAAATAAGCCAAGCCCTGAAGCCCTTCAAGACTTGACGCGTTACGCCGAGGTTCTTGGTTGAATTTCCTGGGGCTGATGCACCCCACAACATGCTCCTAAAAGCGCGATGACGACCCCACGTGCAAAACCCCGAACCAGAATCCTTCCAGCTTGATGTTTGAGGGCGACGAGGCTCCGAAGCTTGAGCACAGGCACTTTTAGGGTTTGTGGATGCACTACTCACTCCAAGCCGTCCTGTGTTGATCAAGGTTTTGCAGATCTTCGTGCGGAAGAGGTCCTCGCGTGCAGTAAGCGCCAAACTGAACATGGTCAAGCACAGGCTGCAGCATTCTGTAATGCTTTCGCCTGCTTCAACTGCCTCCTACATCCTGACATCCTGAGGCCCTCGTATCAGGGACCCAAACAAAAATGCCCCCTGCAAATGCAATCTCTCCCCCGATTCAAAGCACGAAGTGAGAAAGCTCTTTGGGGCTTGGAGGCTCTCTTGAGGAGATTTTCAAGTGGGAACCCTTACACAGGGGAGGAATGAGGAAACGACACGCCTGAAATTTCCTTGGATTCACAACAAGTGAACACACCTCTGAGACACCACAAGGAACCCTGAACCGGGTCATTTTAGGCCTAGCTCCCCACTCCCCATACCCCCCCTGGCCGGAACGGGCTTGAGCTCGTCTTGGTGGTGCGCAAACATGCAAGCGCTCCCCTGGGGCAACGCTTGGGTCACTGAGGCTGCCTACTGCAAAAGGCATGACACCAAGGCGTTCTTGTAAAGGCTTTTTAAAGGAAGCCAGACTTTGCCCCCTGCGACATGCCCTCCTTGATTTACGGAGACTCTCGGAACGCGTGCTCTCCCAGAAAGGAACTTAAACTGAGTTGCCAGAATATGGATAACTTACAGATAAATACATATCGAAGATGAGATGACTTCCCCAGTATGGCAACTGAGTTTGAGTTTATAAGCTCCCGTGAGCTCGGCTTCCTTACAAAGCACATTTCGAGTGAAAAGAGCGCCGGCCTTGATGCAGACGCCAAGCAGGTTGAACTTACACATCCTCGGGGGGATGCGCTTTGCTGACGCTTGGGGATTTGCAGGCTCTGCGCTTTGGGCTCACGTCCCCCGCCCAAGCGATCTGAGAAACTGGAAACTCCCAAGCCCTGAAACTGCTGAAAGGCGTCTTGGTCTTGCTGAAGATGTCGCTGCCAGCTCGAGGAGGCTCCAGCGTCACCTGCTGGGGCAGAGGAGGCTCAGCGCCGAGGGCGTTCCCGTTCGGCGGGACTTTAGGGTCCAGGGTTTTTGGGTTCAGGTCTTTAAGGCATGCGGACTGACCGAGAACCCGAAACCCAAACCACCCCGAAACCCCAGAAGCCCCTATCAACCGTAAACATCCGTAAACCCTCACGAACCGCAATGCTCCTGCGCTCCGGGCTCCCGGGCCGGATCCTGCGAGCTACTGGAGCCTCGCTCTGTGCGACACTTCTCTGAAGCTTCCGCAAACTTTTGTTGTGCTGGGCAGTGACTTAGAAACCCACCTGCAGGCCTGCGATCTTCGAGGCTCACATGACAGGTCAGGGATGCGCGTTCTTGGGGTTGGCGCGCGGGACTAGCGTAGAATTATGTTGGTTCTGGTGCCCCGACTGCAAGTTGGCATGTGCCATGTGTGCCTCCATGCTCCGCGAAGATCTGCGGCATCGATAGCTTTCGGGGGAGCCTGGGTATAGGTGTCTTAGGGCTTTGGCGCGGCTTTTTTTGGCCGGCCTTGTTCGGGCTCCGATGATTTTAGAGGGTTTGGGGCTTAGGCTGGGTTTCTGAGGCGTAGGGATGTTATTTAGGGATCAGTCCCAAATTCAGAAATCGAAGCCACAGCCTCAAGCCACGCCTAAGCTCCAAGCCTCAGTGCAAACCGAATGCCCTGAAGCCCCTGAAGCACCCGAAAGCTCTGGAACTGGCCAAGAAAGAGGTTTGGGGGGGGGGGGGGGGGGGGAAAGCTGAAGGTCGTGGTTCGGCCGGGTGCTTCGGAGGCGGGGATCCTTTCTTGGAGCACCTACAATGAAAGAATGCCAGGCTTGGGTACCGACGCGCTTGCAAATCTTGGGCATGCGGTTGAGGGTCTACGGAATCCACGGACTGCAGGTGCGGGGCCTGTGCTCCTTTTTGCTTAGCCTTCTTGGCATCTGCACATCGAGGAGCGCTGCTTCGTGCCGGTGCTGAACCCTTGCATCTCACTCAACACGGTCCGTGTTCGAGTACTCTGACCTAAGACGCAGTGAACGGACCGAAGTGACATCCGCTGCGCCACAAGTGCGCCAAGTGAAACTGGAGGAGTGCTACCCCCAACGAAGCTACAGTTGAAAATTCGAAAACTGTGCAAGGTCAACGGGTCGTCATAAAGGACTCGCCAGCTGAACGCTTACCCCGCTTAGCCCGCTTAAAGCGCGCACCCTCAGTCCAGAGGTGCTCTAGCGATGCACCTGCTGGCACATGCTGAAGAGACGAGCCGAACATGTCACCGACATCCACGACCCTTTATGGCGGCCCCGGACCTTGGAAAACTGACCGAGAGATCCGACATTTCTGGCATACCAGGATCAATCACCTTTGGAATAGCAGACCGTACATAAGATTAAGGAGGCCCAGAAGGTACCCAAATGTAGCACAAATCCCTCTTTGTCCCAGGCATCACGCCCGGGCCCGGACGGGCACACTCACTTCGTTGCGTCGCTTCCAGGGAACAGTGAAGGGATCGTTGTACCTCTTCGGGGGGCGAGGCTTTTGCTTGGAAGATGTCCTAGTCGGCTTCTTCTCCTCGTCTTCTTCTTACTCAAGCTCCGAACCGCTCAGACGATCAATCACGCCGTAGAAGCTTGCAAAGACAAAAAATGCTGTTTCCAACACCTCTAGGCTCCCAAACGTGTACCAAATTGCGTTCCAGAGGGCTGCAGCAACTGCGTCGAGTTCTCCACCAGCTCCCAATCCTCAAAGATACGTGGCAGAGAAGTGGCGTTTTACAGCTTTACACCAGCAACCAAATCCGCCGAGGCCTCGGGCAGGTTTTTTCCGCCCTCTGTTTGATACCTTTTTGCTTGGAATGGGCACGAGGCCACAGGCATCCGACAAACCAATTCCTCTCTCACCTTCTGCCACTCCCCGACCTTGCCCTCAAAGAGCTAGCCTCGCTGCTATTCCTCTTCTGCCACCCCCTTTCCCAGGCTGCACCCCCCAGCACTTATCCCCTGACAAAGAGCCACCCTTCTTTTCTTCTTTTCTGTATGCATCTTTACCTAGCTCCACTACCTGGCCGGCTGTACTTTCCCTAACCGCCCCCACTCTCTTCCCACCACTCCCCCATGCATTCGCGTATTCTCCTCTTTGACGCTAAACCCCCAAAGCCTCTAGCACTTGAGGGGCTCTCTAAACTCTGGGCCCTTGGGGTGCCCTATATACAAGGCTGCATTTTACACGGGATTCCCAAGCAGGCCCCGAACAGAAAAACTTACACATTCCCTCAGACTCTAGAGCTTTACAGGACATGGCCGGGGGCTAGAAAACCGCATAGTCTGAACGAATGCTTGGGGCGAGTAGCTACAGCGTCCTCCCGAAGGCCTGAATTCGAATCCTAGTTAAGAACGTGCTAAGACTCTGAGCCCCCCCCCCTCCCCCCCACACCACACACCAGACTTGAGGTTGTGGATCCTTGTGCGGGGCTTCTAAACTCATAGGCTTGCAACAGAGAAAGTACGCTCTCCAGTCCTCGCTTTCTGCCACGGAGGCCAAGAGCTCATCCGTCCTCAGGGCTTGCGATTCTTGGAGTGGCGGCAAAGCCGGCTCACGGCAGGTCCTCCCCCCCAAATCCCTCAACCTCAAGTTCGAAACTCATAGCTGAAACCTACCAGGGCCAAGCCACTTCCGGGCCACCACGGAACCCACGGCATAGCCGCCGAAGATGCTCACGGCCACGCGCTCCCCTGGCCTTGCCTGCTTTCAAAGAACTCTGGGAGAAGCATAAGCACTGATAATCGTGATCATATACGGACGAGTGGCTGGTGACGAACTGCAGATGCGAAAAGAAGCTCTCGAAGCATCCCCAGCCCCTGCCCTCTGCCTGGAGGGTCACGCCAGCATCCGGCGCAGGGGGCGGTGCCTCCGAGAGGCTGTCGCCCCAGTACTTGCTAGGCATGATGAACCTCGGGAGGTTCCGGGTTGAGGGGGGTGGGGATAACTAGACACACCTGTTGAGTGCTTGCAAAACTGCTACTAAAGCTGCCAATCCTCCCTTGTTTCTGGCTTGGGGCTAAGCATGAAGAGCATGAGGGGTTGTCTTGGACAGAGCCCAGCTGCGACATGGTACCCGTGCTCTTGTCCATTTGAACAGGGGTAGTCATCGCCATCTTCTCATTCCTGCAAAAGGCTTGGGGTTTAGCTGCGACGGCCCGTTATTTGAAGCTCCGAATCTTACATCCCGGCTCCAGAATGCATTTGGGCAAACGGCCACGCTGCAGGCCTGGTGTCAAGGTTCCGAAGTCTAGGGATTTAGCAGTGATGTGGTAGTCATGGGAGAGGTGTGGCCTCTCATTCTTCTTGCCGAAGATGTAGTCCGCCAGCATGAAGAAAGAGCGGTTGTTGGCAACCTCGCCACCTAGCGCAGAGGATGCAGAAGCCAAAATTCGGCTGACCAGTCAGGATTTGTAAGCATTCACACTGGAAAGTCTTCGGCTTGAATCATCCGGCAGCTCCCGAAAAGATCGTCAACACTCATGGAAAGCGTTCTTGGAATTCTGGGTTTCGAAGACTTTGGGTTTCGGGCTGTAGACTGGCCGTACTTTTCGTAAGATCTCCAAGGCTTCTCCTACGTCCACATGCCTAACAAAAGCGTCGCGCATGCAGGCGCTGCAGCCACCAGATCTTGTGAGTCGCTCAAGCTTCGTGGATGCGACTACACGAGCATAATGACCTATCACCCACCCACGTCATGTTGCATCCGAATTCGCGCGCAGAACTAACCCAAAGGGGTTCAACAGACAAACCGCCAAACAGATCGCGCGAAAACGCAGCCCACGCGAGTGACTGCGATGTCCGGTCCGGACTTCTGCCAGAAACAAGGAAAGAACATTGCTGCCAATCTCCAACCCCCCACAAATCTCCTGAAATATGCCTAGGACATCGACTCTTGCCTTGGCCCTCGGTCCTCACCACCGCATAGGGCGCATACTCACGGACCTCTTCAAAGGCGAAGTCTGAAGCAGGGTCTTGTTTTCTAAGGCTGCCAGAAGTTGCAAACATGCCGTTTGGTGTCCGTGGGCTCTACGTCGTCGCAGAATCGTGAAGCAGAGTATAGGGTTTAGGGGGTATACGAAGGCAGTCGTTCGGTCACTTGATGGCTTGGGCTTCTAGATTCCCCGAGCTCCCGAAACATCTTTCTCCCTGAGCCACTGGGGATATCAGAGCGCAATGGGAATTGGAGTCTCTGCCTCGTAGCCATTCAGGGCATCGCGGAACAGCACCTTCCCGACAGCTGTCCGCCAAGACCCTCTCAACCCTGAACCTTAATCCGCTTCAAACGTGAGGGGTAGTAACGGAGGCACGGATGCAAAAGGCAAGGACACCCCAAACCCTTCCAAGCCTCAGCCCCCCCAATATTCCCTCGGCCTCGTACTCCGGGGTCTCCAGGTCCGGAGTCCGCTGCTTCCACTCGCCCTCGCCCGCCTCGGCTTTCTGGGCCGACCTGCATTGCTCGCACACCCTGATACGCACGAATGCTGACTGGGATTGCCCTCAAACCCCTCAGAAAATGCTCCTAAAGGTGATCCTCTTAGACCCAGTCAGGGAAAATATCAAATATGTCCTGAGGGCCTACCTGCAGGCAAAAAAGTTGCCAGATTCTTACACTCTGCAAGCTTCTTAGCGCTTGTCTGGACATAAGGTCTGAACAGTTTGGGGCTTTCATGGTCTGGCAACCTCATGATTTGACATTTTGAAGCTGGGAAATCCCCCTGAAAGATCCCGAAAGCTTCAGCCCCAAACAGCACACCCTCAACCATGCTGTGCGGCTTTTAGTTAGGGTTTAGGATTTTAGCGAGGTGGGAGAGAGGGAAGCGGGAGGGTGGGCAGGGGATGATCTCCGCTACAAACCCGCACCCTGCCACCTCTCCACGTCCCAGGGGGTGTTGGACACCAGCTGGCGCAGAACGACGAAGAGGGCGCGAGCCTTGCCTGGTAGCGGGAACCCTGCGCATGGGAGAGGAGCTGGCTTCAGGCACTCCAACAATGGCTCATTGGTTCACAGTAGTTCACCCCAAGCCCGACCTCAACCCCATACTTGAGCGCATCACATCGTGCCTAACTCCAAGCCGGGAAGCTGGCATCAGAGACCTCGGCCTCCTCATCGCCCTCGCAGGGAACCGCCGAAGTCGACAAGCTACAGCAAGCTGGGGGCGTGCAGAAGCCACGATGTCATCACCATAACAGTGCGTCTTGATATCTTCAACAACCAAGCGAGAAAGCAGGCTCTTGCCTTGCTAGGTCAGACGGTTCGGGGCTTGTGCGTTGTGATGAACCGGAGAAGGAACCACGACAAGCACCCCAAGCCCCAACGGACTCCAGGCGCAAAGAATAGAACTCGGACACGACTCTGACTCTAACCCCAAGTCATTCGACCGGAAACCGATTCTGCCAGCAAATGCTGGGCCCACTGTGTTGGTTGTTTTGAATCACTGCCGAGGACGCCCCCTACCGACACACCCACAAAAAGCATCAACCACAGTATGGGTCCTGCTCCTCACCATTCGCGTCTAAAACGTCGTTCCTAAGGGATCAGAGGCTGGCCGATCGACTGCAAAGACGTCTAGAATGTCTTTCCTAATGATCAGTTGTTGGCCTATCGGCTGTAAAGAGATCACAAAGGCCCAGCGCTCAGCAGCTTGTTCTCGAGAACGGCCATCAGAGAGTGTGGTGTTCAGAATGATCGAGAATGGTTGCCCTTCAAAGCAGACCCCGGAAAAAGCAGACATACGTCTGGAAGGGTTGATTTGATGCCACATGTAATGGTCTCTGGTGTGAAATCAGACATGGTACGGAGTTTCACAACTGGGGCGATCGTGTTGCGATGGTGCCGTCGGTCGCTAGTGCCGGCTGCCCCAATCTTCTCCTTCTCCTTTTTGTCTCTTCATGCGTTTTCATGTCGGAGGGCGTCGGCAAAGCACGCCACTTGCAAAGGGCACCCCGCACCCTTCCCCCCGAACACGAAAAGCGACCCAGGCGCTTCAGGACGTAGCGGAGCCGCTGCTCTCCATCCCGGGTCCGCTTCTGCAGGATGACCGGACTCCCTGCCTCGCTGAGGTTCCGGGATTTGGAGCCCAGCTACTTGGGGGGACTGCGTGGGGCTGCAGTTGATCAACATTACTGCTCCCAGGATGGGACTGTAGACAACAATTTCCCCCTACAACTCCTCCCTGCAGACACGTGTTTCGATCGACGCTTATGTGGAGGGTACAGGGGGAAGGGGAGGGAGTCGGGCGCGGGCTTGAGGTGGAGACCGTCCCAGCAATGAAGGGTTATCTAAATTGGGACCTTCGGAAAACTGGCATGCCCCTACTCCGAAGCTCCTTCTCACTTTAACCTCAGCCCTGACACCTTCTGACACCCTCAACTTGAAGTAAACCCTTCACGAAGCCCAAGTTTTTCCCGACCCCGACAATCGCTTACGCCCCTTTGGGCAGCTCACTCGATCGAACAGCGTTCCAGTAAAGCAGGCTCCGGACCGCGCTGTCCGTCTGCATTACTACAGTTGCAGGAGTCACCGTCTTTCTGTGCTTCTTCCAGTGGCGTGTTTTCCGCCAATCGGGGCAGAACAAGAGCTGGTCTACAACAGATTCAGCTTCACATCCCTCGGATGTCTGCGCCTTGAGCGCTTCAACCGCATCCAGCCTATACTCCAGGAGCTCGTCTGCAAGGGCAAACTTCCTGCTCCAGGCTGCAGCCAGCTCGGCATCATACTGCAGCAGCGCCCTCTTCAGGGGCGACAGCACCTTGCTGAAGTAAGCAGGGCGAAACCGCTGGACTTGTTCCTGGAAGCCCAAGTTCTGAACCTTCGTCGCTGGCCTCGGTTGCCACCGGATGGGACACCACCTCCGCTTCTCTGTTTCTGGCAAGTCCAACTCCACGGACTGCTTAAAGATGCCACCGGCTTCCTGGAAGATGGGAGCCAGCTCACGGTGCCAGAACTCGTTTAGACTCCGGGCGTGCGCCCTGATGTGGTCATGCGACTCTTTGGGAACCAGCCTGAGCAGCTCCTGGGGATCGCGGCCGAAGAGCAGCGCGACCACCACACAATTCACTGCCGCCTGCGGGATGAAGGGCAGCAGCCTGTACAGGCCAAACAGGCCGAAGTACGCAGCAACCATGCTCGGGAGCGCATCATCCTTGAACAGGAAAGTCGCGGGCAAGAACTCCAAAAAGATTGGACTTAAGTCGTGGCCTTGATCCAAGCTGCGTTCGAACTGAAAGTCCAGGGCCGTGTCTCGCCTGGCGCCGTGAGAGATGAGGTGCATCAACAGCTCCGCGTGTTTTCGGGACAGCGGCCGCTGCCTGTGCAGCAGCAGACCGTCGTATGCCAGCTTTCCGGGCTCGCGTTCCCAGAAGCGCCACGTGGTATCGTGCAATACGAGTCGAAAGGCATGTATCCCTCGATCCCGAAATGCTGACGTTTGTCCCCCGAGCATCAGATAGCAATTGCTGTGTGGCAGTTCGATCTCGTTCCATGCGTGCGTTGGAGCTTGGGTGCATGGAGTGCAAGCAGTTCCATCGTCGTTCGTCTTGGTCTCAACAGTTCCACCCAAGAACCGAATCAACCAAGAACTGTCCACACGCGGGCCACCTTTCCAGGGGCAGGCACAAACACCCGGGATCTTCATCTCCTGCCTGAAGGTGGCCATGCGAACCACGCCATCGGTAAAGTTGAGATTACGCAGGGCGTCCCAGTCGATGTCATCTCCATTCATGCAGGATCTCGAGGCGCAGCCGCAAAGCAGCGTCCTGGGCTTGCACTGGAAATGCCCGTTTTTATCAGAGCAGAAAGGCCCAAGATGAGTATCTCTAGCATTGTTCCAGCGTTCCTCGGCGAAGACCGTCAGAAAGATGACCAACGCCGCGATTCCCAGGACGCCGATTGCAAGCACTATACACAGATGGCATCCGGTGGGCAGCTTCATCTTGGAGCACCCTGTCAAGGAGGCTGGGGCCAGCCAACTTCTAAGTCCTCGGGAATGCAGATACAGCTTCCATCGGAGCACGCAGCGCAGATGATACCGCGACGCGTCGTCGCTGAAGGGGCCCTAACAGATCCCAACAGGAATCCAAAGCCACAACCCACCAGGCCGAAACTTTGTGGTCCGAAACAAACCCACTTTGAATCAAAAGGGACCTCTTGGAAGCCCCTGCAAGCCTGCTGCGGCAGGATGTGCTTCGTCACCGTGCGGTAGAGGCCTTGGGTTCTGGACGCCGGCGCTGGTGCTACGAGAGCTTCTTGAAGTTCTTGCAGCAACTTTCATGCTCCTATTTGGAGGAGACAGTTGCGTACTCATGCCCCGCCCCGAGCCCTTCTGAAACGTAAAGAAACTGCAACACCCAAATAATCTGAACACTCCTCTGGCAAGCCGTCCCCAGGTCCAGGGACTGGCGCAGGCTGCGCGATAGCCCAGGAAGGGCCGAAGGCGGAGGCGAGGCGAGCCGGCCGAGTCCTGAGCGGGTCTCATTCTTGAAGCTGCTCTTAAGGTTTCTAGGTTTTGTTTGTTTCAGGGGCCGGGGGGGGGAAGGGAGGGGAAGAGCAGGGTCTTCAAGGTTTGGGTGGTCGTTCTATGTGGGGGTCAGGCATGATCTCACTTCTGGGGCTTCGGATTTCCACCGAGAGCCTGGGCTTGAAGCAGGGGGTGGCTTTTTTCGGCCTCAGGATGCCTCAGGATTGTTTTGGAGCCCCCCCGAAAATCCTGTCAAGCAACCCTCCCATACTTCTCGATCTCATCAAAGATCTCGACACTGACTTCGTCGAAGAATCCAGAAAGCTCCTGCAGCCAGGGCTGGCACGATAAACATCCTTGGCGTTTCGGGGGGCGACCTGATTTCCAACCTCATGCTTCGGAGTCGAAATTTTCTCTCTTTCCGAGCTCCCAACGAAGTGCCTGCACTTGTACCTACGACAAGTATGAAACTCCTCCTTTCGGCTCTTGATCGGGAACACCCCTGCGGCCTTCAACGCCTCCTGCCGCACGCTGCTGCGCCGAGCCAGGAGAAGCCTTTCAGGAGTTGAAGCCCAGGGCTTCAAACCTTTACGATGTCCATCTGTCTGGAAACCCTTACCTCTGAACCGTCCACCGCTCAACCCTCCACCTTTCAACCCGCAACCGTCAACCATCAAGCGTCAAGGCGTCAACTCCCAACTCACAACTCGCAGCCGCCCATGAACACTTAGCTCTGCTGCTCTGCGGCTGCCGCAGCGCTGGCCGCCAGTCGGCAACTACCGCAGCAGCGTCCTCGAGAACTTTGTGATTCGTGCTTTGGGTTTGGCGCGAGGTTCGTCAGGGATGATGGGGCTGGGGACTGGACCAAAACTCGTTTTCTTCACTTCGGTGGCTCCGAAGTCATGTAAACTTATTGGGGGTTGCAGCATAAGCTTATCCAACCCCTATCCAACCCCAAACAACTCCGAATAACTTTTCATGGCTTCCAAACGGTCTTCCTTAAAGCGCTGAAGTCGAAGGTACGTAGCAGGACTCCAACAAAATATAGCACACGAAAGCACGTTGCGATCAGCCAATGTCCGTACACTGCATCGGGATCAGAAGAATGCGGGCTCATGGGTTGGATCCGGCCATCGTGCTTTTCAGCACAAAGAACTCAAGACGCAAGGAGCCTCCTGCATGCAGAAAAATCCGCTAACACAGGGCGCTTCTCGTGTGGAGCTGCCAAAGCTTGGAAAGGTCGGGGGCTTAGAAAGCTTAGCTTCAAGCCGAAGGGAGTTGCCATTAAGGCTTCCTGTGAAAGCTGGCGCTGAATACGACTACCGCAGCGACCTCAAAATCCCAGCTTAGTTCAGTGCACTTACGTCGCACGCACGGCGTGACCTCGCAGCGCGCGCTCGTAATCATGAGCAGTAGTAACAGCCATCGAAACAAAAATGATCAGAGTCGCCTTCCCTCCTTTCCTCTTTCCTTGCCTTCCTTGCTTCTGTTGTTCTGTTGTTCTGTTGAAATCCTGGGTAAGCACAGGCAAAACATAGGAAGTAAAGGCTTTCATAATAAAATCCATGTAGGAACAGAAGCTTGTCACCACATAGGCCCTCTCTTCGTAAACCTAGGCTCCTCAGACCCTAGACCCTGAACCGTAGACCCTTTCACGGGAAGGGCATCCCCACAGCAGTGGGGTAGAGCCTTCAGGGCCTTCGGCTCCTGACCTACAAAAGCTACAAGTAAGCAAAAGCTACAAGTAAGCAAGCAAATCTACAACTAACCTAGGGACCCTGGCGCACAATCGGTCTTGAGGGGTTAGGGTCGGATCGGTCAGCTGCGGAAATCCAAAGGTCAATGGTCGTGGGCTCCTTATATGCACTGCGATAGAACTTGTCGAAGGTTATTTGGGATTGTCAGGACGTACAACTTGTAACTCTATACCACTTCGGGGTCACCTGGGTAGAGGTCCAAAATTGAGCCCCGAACAAAACGACCTGAATAACTGCATGGCTTGTGGGCAAGTACTACACTTTGAAACGCTTCTCCACTACGAACAGCAGCACCGTACCTGGAAACTCGCGACCATACTGCCGCAGATGCAAACCCTATGCTTGTGCATTTCTGATGTCAACGGCACCATGAACTCCGGGCAGCAGCCAAGCAAGATCAAGCACGCCTCACCTCAAGGCTCGAAGCTAACACCCCAAAACCTTGGAAATTACAATCGAATCCGGCTTCCCCCAGGCCCAGAAGCAACTTGAGTATAGACTCCATGGGACGCCACCCGAATACAAGGGCCCCACAGAGCCTCCGTAGAGGTCGCATCCTTGGAGCCGCCCGCCGCGCTGCGGGAGGCCCTGAAAGAGCCGCTGGGCCCAAGGGGGCTTTCGGGCTTTCAGCCAGCTCCCCTGCTTCCCGCTGTTTGGGGCTTCCGCAGAGTTGTTGAAAGCAACAAAGGTTACCTGATGTTCGCGATTTAGTATGGAGGTCCACTCTCGAAGCTCCCCAAAACTACGTATGCAGAGAATTCGTCTTGTCGGTGCAAGCCAACATTGCATGTCGAGGAACGGCATCGCACGCTTGTGAATTTTGCTCATCGGTCGGAGTTGCTTCAGCACAACCATCGGGTGATCGGGTTCGTGGCCCCAACTTCATCTTTGTTGCTCTTAAATGATTCAACACAGCCCCAGTCCCCTCCCACCCCAAACCCGACTGCTGCAAGCCTAGGACCGCGTTGAGGCGGGAGTCTTAGTTTCTGGCCTTACACGGCTTACGCGCAAACAAGTACGATCAACACAAACCCTCAGCCCGAGCCCTACTGTAACATCCTGTCTCCTGGACGAGAGGAGGAGCGCCCTCGAAAAACCCTCACAAACCTCTCCAAGACTGATGCAACAAAACAGAGCCACCAAAAAATATTAAGTCTGAAACCTGCCCCCCTCCCCACGGGCGCGCAAAAATGAAATGTAGTCAGATCGACATCTAAACAAAGAATAAGAAGTTGAATCAAGTGGAGCAACGAAGACAGGCCCAGGTTTGGCCTGCTCTGCGCCGCCGGCGCCTCGGCCCGCGGAGCCGGGCCTACAAAGGCACCTGGAAAGCATCGACTCGGGGCGCGGGCCCTCCGGAGCCAAAGATGATGCCAGAGCTTCGAATTCAAGACTTCTTGAGTTATGTTCGTTTTTCTGCTGGCCGAGGCGGAGAAGGGTCTGTTTTCCTGGCTTTTCGAGGGGGGAGAGGAGGGACGGTGTGCGGGCTGGGCGCAAACTGAGGCTGAGGCTTGGCTGGCAAATCGGATATTTTAGGGCAAGGACCTGAAAACACTTCCGCCGACCCTACCCAGAACTTCCCCCCATGAGCCGAGCAGCAGCCCACCAGCAGCAAAGCCAGCGTCACCAGGCCAAACCAGCGCCGGGGACGAGGCGGGGGCATGACTCTATTTTCTTGGCGGGGAGGGGGGTTCAGAGTTTTCCGCTCAGTGTTGGGGTTTGGGGGTTCAGCGTTTCGGGCAGGTACATTGCAGTCTTGCGCTGGCGGATGTGCTGCGGACCGGACTCACGTCTTGGAAGTGTTCGTCGTGTTGCATAACACGCCTGCGCTTTGTGAGGGAGAACATGGTGCTTTGGCCGACTTGCGTTGTTCGAAGCGTCTGCGGCGGAGCACTGAGACATTCCAGAAATCCACGGTGACCACACAAAGTAAAACCACGAGGGTGCATTCAAGCCTTCACTATTCATCAGAGCACTTTGCTGAACATGAGTTCTATGCCAGTGTGGCTCAAAGGCCCTCGCATCATCAGCCGCGCGCTTTCATGTCAAGCCTCAGCCTGCAGCCACCTTTGCACCCTCTTTTCGAAACTTCTCAGTACGACGGACAGACAGACAGAACAGCGGACACAGACACGCAGAGACACAGTGACACACGGAGACATGAAGAGACACAGAGACACAGAGACACAGAGACACAGAGACACAGAGACACAGAGACACAGAGACACAGAGACACAGAGACACAGAGACACAGAGACACAGAGACACAGAGACACAGAGACACAGAGACACAGAGACACACTGACGCCTGCACCGACACCAGCCACGTGGCCAACAGGATCCTCAACCCTCAACCTCATCAACAGATATCAACAGGATCCTGAACCCTAAACCCCTATAGAAGGCATGCTACTAGGATGACCACGCGCCCAACAAGGCTCCGGGATGCCGACGGTGCCCAGCGGCCGCGACAACCTCGGCCCGAAGCACCGCAACTGAGGCTTGGAGGCCTTCGGCCGAGGGCTTGAGATGTACTTGGGACCCGGGGGCTCCTTGAAAGCTCGCGATCCTTCTTGTTTACGACGTCTCTTGGTCCCTCAAGACTCAAGAAGTCCCCCCCACCCCTTCCCCCCTTGCCCTCAGGCGGCTGCAAGCTCCGCACTTTTCGGTTCTGGGGTGCAGGAGCCTGCGCCTGCTCCCTGCTCTCATCCCCTCATCCCTCAATGCCTAAGGTTGGAAAGCCGAAGCCGAAACTCGCAGATCCGGGTGCCCGGCCGCTTGACTCGATCCCAGCTCTCTCAAACACTTTTGACTACAATCATAAGAAGCCTGGAGCCTAACGCTGCCCCAAGAAGAACATGATGGAACACGAGATCCCAAGGCATTGCAGCCCTCTCAGGATAGTGACGTGCGGGGGTCATTGCTGAGGCGCAGGATGCGGACTCAGGTTCGGTTCGTCATGCTGTGTGCCGGTTACACGCAGCGGCAGCGTTCCTGAGGTTCTTGTAGTGGGTGCAGTGCAAGATGTGTTGCCGGTTCGAGAGAGCCAGCAGTGTAGCAGTACCTTCCAGCCCTGGACACAGGCGGCTCATCGCCTTCACTTTGTACTTTCGTTTCAAGTGCATTAAGCGAGGCGAACTCAAGAAGAAACAAGGAGGATACCATTCACTTCTTGGTTCAGCTGCAAATACGAGTCACATAGAAGTACACTCAAACGCCGGCACGCGGTTTGCATACATGGTGCAGGTATTTGCGGACAGAAGTCATGCCCAGGTCATGCCCGAAAATGGCCATCAGCAACAAAGGAGGAGGTAAAGCGAAGCGGGGCGTCCTTTTTATATGTCGTTGCATCGCGCACGCTGTCTGGCACATCGGGGGGCGGCTGCCCCCTCCTGCCCACAGCAGAAGAGCTTTGGATCGGAACATCCCAAGCCTCATCCCAAACCTGTCTTGAAACCGAAAGCCTCAAATCCCTTCATCCCAACCCCACAACCCCCAAACACCAGACTCTCCAAGTCACAAGCCTACTGACGACGGACGGAGGTTTCGGCTCAGGCCAGTTTTTTTGGACTGTGAGAGTCCATGAGGCGGCGTGGCAATCCCAGGGCCTCGGGGTTACTGCAACTGGTCAGACCACAAGATTCTGTCACGTTATGCCACGGGATGCGTTCATGATTTTGATCGTTAGGGTACCAGAGAAAGGCCCGCAGTCCCACCTGGATCCAGTTGCTGCGAGGCCCGCATGGCTCAGGAGCGCCCTTCAAGGAACCTGCCAATAGCAGAGTTGAAAGAACTGCCCCGCACGACGAAGAAGCCTCTTGCAGGGAATTTCCCCGTGGCCTTGCGGGTCATCGATACTGAGGCGGGTAGTAAGCCGGCCGCGCTTGGTAGGGAGGTGCTGTAGGGAATGGTGCAGGGTGAGGTGGGTAGGTCGGCCTCAGAGCCGCCGGCTGTGGCACAGGCTGTGGCACAGGCTGCGGATAGTGGGCCGGTGCGGGTGGCGGATGAGGCCTCGGGTAGGCCGGGTAGCTTGGATGCTGTGGCTGTGGTGGAGGTGCTTGCTGCGGGTGTTGCGGAGCTGGATGAGGTGATGGATACGGGTGCTGAGGTGGAGGTGCGTAATGGTGGTGAGGATGTAGCGGCTGCCCATTGGGCACGGGGTGAACCGGTGCATAGGGACGAGGGGCTAGGGGTGGCCGATATGACGGATGGCCCGGCACTGGTCCTGGTTGCGGGGCGCGAGGTTGCGGTCGGTATGGGTAGTGGGGAGTCGGGGGTCGGCCATGTTGCGGGTGCTGTGGTGGATGATGGGGAGGATGAGCTGGATGTTGCACAGCATGCTGAGCAGGGTGATGCTGGGGGGGGTGCTGGGGTGGGTGCTGATGTGGGTGCTGAGGTGGGTGCTGAGGTGGGTGCTGCTGAGGGTGGGGATGTTGATGTGGGTGGTGCTGAGTGGCGGGTTGCGCCGCGTAGCTTGGGTAGGTCGGATTGGCTGCCAGATTTCCGGGCGGGGGCTGAGCAGGTTGTGGCTGCTGATGCCGATGACTGTTCGACTGCCCAAAGTACCTGGTCCAGTTTCAACATGAGAAATCTCTGCCTTAAGGAATTATTCGTGATATGGCTGTGCTTTCGCACATGGCATCGCACGAAGCTGTCAACGAATCACGCTTGCCGACTCTCACGATTGTCATGGTTCGAAAGTCCCCACATTCTTCGAAGTACGTTCATATGTCGCCTTGCTCCCACAAAATCAGCCCCTAAAGCCCTCACCCCGCACCCCCAAATGCAAGCCCTCATTCGTAAGTCTGCAATGCAGAAAGAAGCCCTACACATCCCTACACCCACTGAACTACGTAAACTTGAACTGGCAGTGGGTAGTCTCCCTTCCACAGACCCACTACGTGGGCCACGGAGCTGGCGCACGTCCTGGAGAAGCCAGACAAGCTGTCGCTTCGAATTTAAACTTTAGAACTTTAGGCATAAGGCTGTTGCTGCCTGTGGGGGGGGGCTTCGGATTGAGGGGCCTGCGGCTTCGGGGTTAACTTTGAGGCGCCAGAAGCCCGACCCGGAATCGAACGAAGACCAGCGGAATACTCTCGGTGTCTAAAAGTGGGACCCCCACTCGCTGCATAGCGACCTGACCGATGACCGACTAGAAGGTCGATTCCTTCGGGGGAATCTTCCCCTCCTTGCCTTGCCGAACATCCCCAAACCACAGGGGCCCCTCTGACTTTTTGACTATGCCTGCGGATCTGGGCGAGGCGTTTTGCCAGGCCCCTGCCCTCAGCATGGTGACACCGCCGGAACCCTTCAGAGTTCAAGGGTTCCGTTCAGGGCTCCGGGTTTACTAACTGAGGGTGCGTTTCCCTTTGCAGGTCACAAGGCTTAGCCGCCTTGGCCAGCTGCTAAGAGGATCACGACATGAGCCGTCCAAAAACCCCAAGCCTCAAACCCTTGTGTACCCAACATGGCACCCAAGGTCCCAAACCCTCAGAGCGCACGTCCGCCGGAAAAAGAAAACGTCTCAGCTGTCGGGCACGGCGAGCAGATCGCCGTCCACGTCGATATCGTCCAGGCAGACGGTCTCAGAACACTTGAAGACTTGAACGCTTGAACACTACTTCAGAACAGTGCTTGAGCAGCTGTTGCAGTTCAAGCTTAGGTGTAGGGCTTTTCACCGTTTTGGAAGTGATGAGGGCGTTAGGGCATCAGAGCTTCGGCTGTCACAATGCTACAGAACGCTACAGCTTAACGCGCGGCTGAAAGCTTTCGAGACATAAACACCGGCCAAAAGCACCGAAACCAAAAGAAGCTCCGATGCAAAGCTGAATTCAGGGCTTAAGTGGACCCCACCTGGCTCCAGGCGATCAGTGCCTTTTGGCAGGCTTGCCGTCTTAGGGTTTGAACTTGCTAGTTGGGTGTGGACGGTCCTCGTTCGGCTATAGAAACTATAGAGGTCTGGGTTTCCACACGTGCTATGAGGAATGAGGGCCTAAAGCCCGGTGAGGGCCCAATGACCCCAAAGGTCGCGAGCCTGACTCAACGCCCTCCCGAAGCCTAAGCCACGCTAGTGCGCACCTGAGAAGCCTAAAGACGCAGCAGCTTGGGAGGCGGGCATGTCAGAGGATTCTCTCTTACCACTCCAAAGCCGACAACGCCTATTAACAGCTCTGAACCGTAAACCTCCTGTTATGGAGGGCCTCCTCGTCACTGTCCAAAGCCAGATTGGCCACAGGGGCTGCCGCAGGGGCTGCTGCAGGGGCGGCCGCCGCAGGGGCCGCTGCAGGGGCCGCTGCAGGGGCCGGGCTGGGCCTCAAGAGCTGTTCACTTGAATCCTCTACTACCCAGGCATGTTCAGGGGCTCGCTGCGCTTCGGAACTGAAAGGAAGGATTTCCGGCAGGTGCGCATCAAGACAGCTGGGGATTCCTACGAGGCCACAGGAGGGCCTGAGGCCGCTGATACCCTACGAACTTGAAAAGGGCAACAGGCAAACGCAATCAAGCGCCCACCTTTAGCCCTGCCTCCCCGCCCCGCCTAAAGAGGCCTACTTAAACCCCCTAAACTGGACCGAGAGGCCTGTGGCTTGGCCTGGGGATCGGCCCCTGCGGCGCAGATCACCAGGAGCTCTCGGCTTTGGGACGCTTAATGAGCACCCCCAACTCCTGGGTTTGGGGTTCTGGGTGGGACACCTGAACCCTGCAAGACAAAGTCCGACGCTAGCCCCAAAGCCCAAAACCACTCGTTTCCAGAACTCAGATAAGACCCACATCCTCAAGGCCTCAAACGTCCTCCAACCCTTTCAGCCACTATAGGACAGGTCCTGGTCCCACGCCTCCTTGGAGCTGGTCAGCTCCGATTGGGGGAGGCTGCGCTGGTCTGGGCAGATGGGATTAGAAAGGGCATATGGTTGAAGCCTTCTTGGGCAAAGAAGCTTCTGACCTTTCTTTGTGGCTCACGACGGTCATGCCCGGATGCCTGACAACAGCCGCGCAGGCACCCCGAGGCTGGCGCTCCTTTGCAGATCTCTCAAGGGGCAGATGGCCAGTTCTCTTCAAGATCTGGCGCGTTAGCGTGACCGCTGCTGAGAGGGGCTCGTCCAAAGACAGAAGCTCCTTCCCTCCGACGGCGGCGCGTCGCCAGCGGCCCAGTTCAGGGGTGCAAGCTTCCTGGGGCCGATTCATTGTAGGGCAAAGGGGGGATACTATTGGGGAGGGTTTGGGCCGTAGGGAAGCTTGAGGATTGGGGACTGGGGGCTCGGGGGCACGCCTTTATAAATGACCCTTTAAATACTTCTATACTTCTATTGCAACAGTACCTCCGAAAAGTGGCTTGGGGCTTAGGGCAGTAGGGGCTGCCACTTCAAGAACCAAGGCCCGTAAACACTTTATGTTATGCGCAAGTGAACCCCAAAGCCCCCAAACCTCGAACCCCAAACCCCCAAACCCAGAGCTCTTCCCGTTGCAAGCTTTGTTGCGCCCCCAGTGGCCCAGCACTTCGGCTCCGCAGCGGTGTCGAGGGCGTGGGACTGGCCTCGCTGGGCTCCGGGCCTCCTGAGGAGAGCTTGTCGCCGTGTGCTGTGTGCCGCTACCGCCGTGCATGCCGCCGTGCATGCCGCCATGCTTGCCATGCGGGCGTGCGGGCGTGCATATTGCTCTGGGGCTGTGCCGGAAATGGAGGTTGCGTTAGGTACGCAGACAGGTGCTCGAGGGCATGTGCTTGCAGGAAGATCCCACACATCTCATGCAACCCGAACTTCCGAAGTCAAGACCACGAACCCGTCATGAACTGCCAAGCGCTGGTCGGGCCGCCACGGTTTGGGATTTAGGGCGGGCCTTACAGGCTGAGGGCGTTGCACGTGTTGGGGGTTTGGGAATGTTGGGGTCCTGGTCCCGCTTTGAAGAGCTGTCGCGTGGCTTCAAGGCCTGCGCGAAGGTTCGCCTTGGCAGGCAAGCGGGACTTGGCACAGCTGCTTGGGGTGAGCATGGTGGGGACTCCTCTGGCCGCGAACCTCACTCTGCCGCGGCGCGATCCAGGGCGGCAGGGCTCCCGAGGACTGTGGCAGGGCCGGTTCAGCAGGGCTGCGCCAGGGGGGCGTGGCAGCCTGAACTGCAAAGTGTTACAGAAAGAACGGAGGCTACCTCGCTAGAAAACCTGTTGCAACCACCGAGGCCGCAGCCAGCCGGGGAGCCCGCTCCGAATGAGGGCGTGCCTGTGCCGGGGAGCACAACATTGAGCCCAAGAGGCTCTTGAGCCCCCAAACCCAACAAATCCTGAACTCTTGAAAACAACCCTCTCCATTTGGATCCAACGCTCTTAAGCCAAGGGCCTCGGCTTCGCTGGGCGCAGGCTTCGGGGGCGCCGGCGGCGTGGAGGGCAGCGAGGACCTGGTCAGCTCTTGTAGGGATGCTTTGCAACTCTACATCAGCCTGTGAAACCCTAAGCCCTGCTGAAACCAAGGGCAGGGGGTGGGACACGGGGGGTGGGGGGGGGGCTGAGAATGCTGGCAAATGAGCGTTAAGGTTGGGTCGTGGGCCTGCATGCCCACAGATCGGGATTTGAGGTACTGAGCTGCCCCGCGCGCGTCGTGGGGTTGCCTTCGGGGGTGTCTGCGGCAGTGGCGGCTGGAAGACACGTGGCCTCGCAGGTCGCAGGTATAGCCAGATTTCAACCAAGGTTCTGTCATCAGCAAGAGGCGAAAGGGGAAGTTAACACCTTTGTCTTAAAGTTGAAGAGATGAGTCGCAGAAGAACCCTCTGCCGCCCATGCCCGAAAACATCGGAACAATCTAGCCTAAAACCTTAAGGCCAATGCCCCAAACCCCATGTACACGCAAAACACACAAAAGACCCCAAACTCATCGAGCCTGGACTGGGACCGGGGCTTCTCCCGAGTCTCCCGGCGTGGGAGGGGGGGCAAACGTGCCTGGAGTCCAACAGGGTTTGGGGGGCTCTCAAATTTACTTTAGGCTTTACCGTGGGACTGCAGGGTGTTGCTTCGTGACTTCCACCACTCATTTGAACAGCAAGGCAAAGCGCATTGCCAGGGGGTCTTACAGCTTGAAAGGGAGCGCGGCACGAACTTGACCATCTCTCAATTCAACTTGCATGTACTGACACATGTACCCACTCTTGCGCATGTCTTTGGAGCCAATATTCGCCTCCGCCAGGCGAAGGGAAATTCCTAAACCCTGAAGCCTGAAGCCTTTACACCCTGAGCCCTTGAAAGCTACAGCCCTAAAGGCCACCCCGCTATTCAACAGCCCCAGAAGCCCCCAAGAAAACCTTCAAAACGCCCCTCCTTTTTGGCTCCTGAGCCTCAACAGCCCCTGGGTGCGACAAATCTCTGACCGCGCCTCTGGCCGCGGAGCCTCAGTGGGAGCCTCACAGGCCTTGGCCCAAGCGCGCCTGAGAAGGCTGGGGGGTGCACGGAAAAGCGGTGCTCTTCGGGCCTTTCGGGGTCTCTTGCGCTGAGTGATGGCTCTCATGATGGTCCCTTTGCTTCTTCAACCCTCGCGAGGAGAGAAACATTCGAAGCTCCCACTGTAGAAACCCCACGCAATTGCGCAAGTCTCAAAGCTTCAAAGCTCCTGAAGGACTGCTCCGTAAGCTCCGAAGGGTCCACGACGTCCACGCGATGGCAGCGGGGCCTTAAGAGGGGTCGGAGTCTTAAAACAGTGCTTCAAGTGACAAGAGGTTTTTGATAGTCCATTTGGAATGGAATTTATGCCATTTTGGGAACTTGGGGGTTCTCCGGAGCTGGCTTGGCTCAAGAGCCACCGACTCTCTGGTTTTTGTTGGTTCCGGCGGTGTTCAAAAACAAAGGTGGCAAGGCTGGAGAACCCATGAGAAACCGCTGCGAGTTGCCATACATCTGCGGATGTCCTCTGCGAGCGCTCGTGGCTGAGACCTTGCGACCCAGTCGGGTACGTTGCTGAGTGACTCGCGCAGCACTGACCAACATGTACCAGG